ATGGAACTATTTTCTTGTATCAAAATATCAACTGCTTGGATAAAAATATAATAATGTTTTTGATTCAAAACTGTGAATGATTCCCAATGAGATAACTAAACTCCACAGAATATTCGTGAAGAAATATATATTTTTTCCTTTGGTTGACAATAATCCCATGTATAGGTATGTACATCTTGGATCAGTATTGTCCATGTCCATCAAGACCCCAAATGGTTATAGAATAATCACATGCCTTGATTTCGTCTTCTTGAAGTTTCGCTGGAAATGATAACGGTTACAAACAATGATATAAGTATTATGATTGATTAAAAACTCACCTCTATAATATGTAATATCGTGACTCCAGTAATATCATGCCTTCTGGAAGATATCGGGTATATAGATTCGAGATACTCGACAGGAAACTTTCTTTCACCTAATGTCAAGGTCTTCTCAAGTCTTTGCAAGTCATTTGTAGATAATACTTCTTCATTCATCAACCAGTCGTCATTTTGCTACAAAAAAAATTTCGAATGAATTAATAAGCATATTTTTATAGCAGGATACTACTAAATCCCTGTTATTTTGATTGGAAAATTGTTGATTCACTCACAATGACTATCGATATTTGGAAAGGTACCTACTTACCAAGGGAATTCAATGTTATTCCTACACCAGCTCTCTACAAGTTCTGCATTTGTTACATATTTATATTCTAAGACATTTCCACCTATACACACTCAATAAAACATTCAGAATTTTCAAACTTCGCAGCTTAATGCCGTTTCGCCGTTGTGGGCCTGTCATAATGATGTGAGCATGGTCAATAATGATTGAAGACTGAGGCCTGAGTTTTGGCAACAGGATTGCTTACCCTTGATTTCCGAGGGCATATTATTTTCTTCCAAAGAAATACCTATTCATAGACTTGAATCAAGTTAATAAAGTATTGAATCAAAATGTGGCTTCTTCAATTAGAGTAATTATTAATATCATCAAGTTCATCAAGTTGAAGATATTATATTCCTTTCATTTGAAAAAATTGATATTCATATCTTTGAATCAAGTAAATATGGCATAGAATAAAACTATCAGGAGTCTTCGATTTGAAGAAATTATAATACCAATATGATGAAATTGGAATGCTTTATTTGAAGGAATAATTATTTATATTTTTGTTTCAAGAAAATGGCGTATTGCCTCAACATATTAGGTTTTTGCAATTCAAGAAAACTGAATATGTCATTCGATGAAATGGACATTCTTTGATTTGAAGAAATGTATACTTATATTCTTGGATCAAGCAATAAATTTATTGAAACAAAATAGTACTCTTCTGCGAATTGAAAAATCGTTTTGATTGAGTTGAAGTAAGTAATTTATCAATTCAATGATTACATTCTTGGTTTGAGAATATATTTCAATAATATGACAGTATTTTCTTGAACATACCAGATTTCTCGACTCAAGAGAATATGCTCAATTCAAAGAAGATATACAATTGAATTTTCAAGAGAATGGGTTTTCTCATTCGAAGAAATTTTTTTTCTGTGTGTACCATAGTTATAACGATGAAACGAAATTCGAAACATATCAGAATTCCTGAGAATTCTACTTGGTACATGTAAAAATATCATTTCGAGGAGCTCAGGACAAATAACAAGGCCTCCAATCAACTTAAATATAATCATCAGGTCAGCAATTGCTCTTCTTTTATTTAAAGAGTAGTGGTTAAGAATGTTCTGAATAGAGGTATAGTCATGGTTATCAATACGGATGTTCATTTTATATTATGCACAGGATCTCATGAATTTATGTTGAACCATATATACAGTTCGTATTGAACTCACTGATAGTTGTTTGCAGATGTTTATTTACTGAAAAAATCAAGTTCTACGATATGATATGAGTTATTTTATCCAATGTAGATAATATACCAACTCACCGAATTTGAGTGAAATCTCAAGAGCCGTTTCAGAGTTACAAAGTAGAACCGATTTGAAAATTGTAACTTCAGAACCGTCTAGCGCTCAAACTGACCAACTTTGTACTAAGATAAGTTTGCTTGTATAGAATCTTGTGTTGGTCTATGGAATGTGTGGTAAGTTTCTGTAAAGACCTTTTAGGGACATACTGTATATAGTTTCCGAGATCCCAATGGTGTGGCCCTCGAATTAAAACCATACTATCCGGCTGATACATCATTTGGAGAATTTGTGTGAATTTGTCTTCTGTCTAATCAAAATTCTCGTAGATAACAATCACCAGAGTTGAACTGAAAATATGTACTATTATTTCTATCCAATTATCGTTCCATTGTGTATGTTTGTGGTTTTTACATAATCTGCAATTTCATAACTTTGCATAAACCGAATTCATCAGGCACACCAATGCTTTTCTAGAAGTAAAAATGCCTATAAGTCATGCTGATTTATGCAATGACGATATACGTAACGAATCGAAAATTGTAATGGTTATTGAACTCAAATAATTAATGAAATCTAAAGAGGCTATGTGTTTACTTTTGAATACTGATGTCTGACGGGGGATAATTTTATTGTTTTCGGTTCAGTTGATATAAAAAGATGAAACTAGAACTATACTTGAATTGGATATGAAAATGGTAGAGTCGATTAGAACATCCCCCTAATATTCAAAAATTCACACATTTTTCTGACAAGTTTTGTCACTGAGAAGTGTCAAAAAATGGAAATGAAACAAAAGAAATGACCAATCTCAAGAGTTAATTTGCATTTTTCGCATTTTTATACTGAAAACGGGAACAGATTCGTTCCCGAAACGTCCAAAGATGAGTGAAATTTTCACAAAACACTTAAGTATAGGTATTGGGAAAACTTGTCGCCTTTTCAATGAGAGTTAATTATCAAGGTATCTGAACTTACTACAATTGAATGAGAAAATTCAGAAATTCAGAAGACACATAAACATTTTCAACGTCTGTCTAAATCAGTGGTTCTTAACTTTTTAGTGCTGAGGGACCATTTGACAATATTCAAAATTGCCATGGACCACTGACTGTTTGGAGGTGAACACATGAAATGAAAATTAATGGATCATTGTTCTATCTATGAATAAAACATGCATCTGTTCACAATCAACTTTATTTGAATCTTTAGGCGAAAATTCAATATAACAGAGACATAATATATCTTTTTTATATTTTGTTATACTCCTCAATACTTGGTTCAGTCCTATCAAAACGCATGTCGGCAGTAGCATCCAACCGATTTCGGTGCTTGTTTTAATGATTAGAAGTGCCTAATAAAACCCCTGCTCGCATAGATATGTCGATGAAAACTAAGGTAGGTATCGAATTGCAATTTCCCAAATCTATGCAAAAGAAATTTCTTTTTGGCTCTAGAAATCATCAAAATCAATTCCTGCTTCGAACTTCGAATGCATTTTTCAAGTTACTATCGGTTTGCATTTCAATCACTTCTTCTTCAATTCTATCAGGCGCTCAAAAACATTGACAATTTCCGATTACCTTTGCTATCGCAGTCAGGAAAATAGCGATCGAATTCACTTTTCAAATTTGCCTCTCTTGATCTCAGCACACTCTCCTTCAATAATTTGATTCAGCTTATCACACGTAGAAAAAAAATCTTTTTCGACTGTCATGATCCATAGTTCGATTTCAGAGATAAATGCAGCAATTTCATCGTCACATGCAAATATACTGCACATGTCATGCTACTTCGAAATTCCTGACCCTTGCAGTTGCAGATTCAATATATAGAGTTGTTCGATCTACCAATTAAAAAAGTCGTATTTCAAATTGATAATCCGTCCGCTTGTCACTAATTCAATATTTTTCCGATGGCTTCGTCGACCCCTTTGGGTGCTCCCAGGGACCACCAGTGGTCCGCGGACCACCGGTTAAGAACCACTGGTCTAAATATTTTCGGTTTCGAGTGTCGGTGTGTTGGGTATAATGAAAAAAATATTCCTTCAACTATGTTTCCGGTTCCATATTATAGGAAGTAAGGACGGACTTTTAGATTACTGGTCGAAATATCATTATTGGTTGAGAGTTGAATACACGAATATCTGAAAATTTCAAATTTTTATCTAAATAAGGGTCGCACGAAAAACTACAGGAGAACAAAGATTTAGAAATACGGTCATAGAAACATCCCTGATGGAAGTGCGTCCCACATATTATAAAATAATATTCAGACTCGTATTTTCAACGCCCTATATCTCGAAAACGACGCGTATATGTTAACATGAACTTTTTTCATCATCTCAACGAGTACAAGACACTGTTGAATTTCTTGTAATACAAACCGGACCACCCTGTATAAAATATCATAGTTCGTTTATATTATACCCGGGAGACACAAAATAATATATAGTGAACGTCCCTTTTCTTCTTTGTTTTTCTCTTAAATTTGAAACACTAGAGGGCACACATTGGTATTTTTTTTTCAATTTCCCGGTTTTCCTGGAAATGACATCAACTTTTGATTTCCAAATGGGATACCCTGGTATTTTTTTGCATAATCGGTTAAGGATTATTATAACAATTATGTCATTTCCAGGAAAACCGGAAGATGAAAATAAAATCCAAAAATGTGAGAAAGTGTCCTCTAGTGAGCAATTCGATGTTCCAAGTTTCATAAATATAGCTAGAATAGATTCAGTGTCACCCGTCACCCGGTATAGTACAGTATACTCAATTAAATAATATCATTTCAGATAATTTAGAAGATAATATACAAATAACACGGCCTGTTTATTTCTTCGATATAAAAAAACTTTTGAATATATAGCATGCAATGGTAAGATCAAATATGGGTAGGCATAGTATGTCTTGTTTTTCATGGCATATAAGTATCTTTTGCGCTTTGTTGATGCGATCTACATGATTGTATTTTTATGTTGAAGGCATCTCAATTTGGGGGTGCTGCGCATACTCCAGAGAAGCATGATAAATCCTGATAATTGTTTCCGATTAAAACGACTTTCATTTAATCCTTGCTTTCTTGTTTCAGACCTGCAACTTGCTGCGGAGTTGGGCAAAACTCTCTTGGAGAGGAATAAGGAATTAGAGACTGCGCTAAAGCAACACCAGGTTATTATTGAAGATCAAGCGCAAGAAATCGAAGTAAGTTTTTTCTAAAGTATCCATATAGGCAACGGTTTTTTTCTACGGCTATAACACAAAATAACACAAAAAACAATGCTAAAATATGAGTAAAAAATTCGATAGTTTCTGAGAAACGATATTTTAATATTAGCATGATTTGCACGAAATATGGCACTAATGGGTTTTAAATAAAATAAATCGAGAAGTGGATGAAGTGTAAAGGGAATACGGCAAGTTTCAGTAGTCAATAGAACATTCAAATTCGGTTTTCTCTAAAACAGCTGCAGTGGCAACACCTACTTTATAGCATAAAAAAATCATGTAGCTTCAGACTATACAGATCTGAAAGAAAGTTGTTGGAATATGAGAAGTTCACAAAAACGCCAGGACTGTAACTTTTGAATTATTCTAGATATAGTTTTGAAAATTGGTGGGTAGCAATAATTATACCAAATTGCTCATTAATTGATGAAATGAAATGATGAAAAATTGCACTTTCCTGCGCGGAAATTTGCACTCGATTTCGCGATTTGATAACAAGATAAGAATTATGCCATCCAATACCAATTGAATGGTAGATCTCTGAGCCAATTCCACGGCACAACGATTTATTTGCTCCTATTATTCCAGAAATTATTCCGTCATGTGATAACGAGTGTGATAACGAGTTGAAGCAAAAAGCAAGTGAAAGGGAAAAATTTCCCCTTTGCGAATATCCAAACGTGCCATGATTCAAACTGCGATCTAAGTTAGTGGCGGAGCGTCAATATTTCCGTGAATATTTCGCCCTCGTCGAAAGATGATATCCGATGGACCAGTGTGAAACTTATGTTGTGCTCACACTACAAGTATTTTAATCAACATGTTGAGTTTCACACTGGTCCATCCTCGGGTCCATCGGATATTATCTTCAGAGGAGTGCAAAATATTCTAGGAACTATTGAAGCTCTGCCACTAACTTAGATCAGTGTATTCGCCAAGGCGACATCATCCTCTTTTATTTGCTAATTGTTTCAATTTGTTATCACATGACAGAAGTATGTCCGGAACAATGGCAGCAAATGAACCGCTGTGTCGTGAATTTCGCTCAGACTGAGAGGTGGCACAGGTACAAGGAGCAAAAAAAACAAATTCTGTAGACTAGAAACGTGTCAAGATGGCCCTAGGTGCCTTGCTGTACGTTTTTTTAATGTTTCACCTGACAAATTTAAACAAATGAAAGATTCAAAATTCATAGGAAATCTCAAGAAATGTTTACTGAAAACAGCATTTTATTCGTTTGATGAGTTTTTAAACTATTGTTTTGTGTCCTTGTAATGCACTTGTTTGATGTTAAATGTGTAGTATTTAAGACATTTTGATGACATTTTTTTTAATGGAAAAATCACTCTTCCTCTATGTATATGAAATTTAACCTGTGTAAATATATTTATTGTATAATAACACCAATAAACGATTGATTGATTGAGGTAGGTTTTTGAAATCTCCTATTCAATTGGTATCGGATGGCATAATTCTTATCTGGTTTTCAGATCGCAAAATCGAATGCAAATTTCCGCACAGGAAAGTGCAATTTTTCTATTATTTTGCTCAGGATAGTGATTGGCACAGGCGCCGTTCGATAAACTACAATGGTTTTACATGCCTTTGGGACATACATCATTTCGTTATCTGATGACGGTCGTAATTTGCAGTCGGCTCTAGGACTAATAGGTTTATCAATGAGTTTTGTAGTGAGATCTTGTAACCAGTCGACCATCACAAAATATATCCTGCACACCGTATGCCATATGTGTAGATAGAATCACATAATATGAATGATGTATGTATGCATGATAGTGATTCTCAATTATCGTGATGATACATTTGGGAGTTTTCAAGTGATTCGACTATGTTTGTATATGACTTACATAAATATACAACAGTGATTTTTTTTTTCATTGAATGCATGTGCTTAACAAAATTTCTATCTGAATGCTATCTAGGATTATCATCACAATAATACGTCTTTGTCTGAATACATTGTGTTTTACATATTACAGTAATGAACTGATTATTTTAAAATATTCATTCAATTAATATCTTTATACTTTCTCTGTAGGCAATCAATCATATAAAAATCCACAGTTTCTACTCTTTACCTATATGTAAAGTTATCGATTCGTCATACATTAATTTTATACCGAGATTAATTGATACTTGTTATATATCTACTCACTTCATCTAATTAAATTTTTTGAAACTGAATCATTACTTATAGTTTATCTGTGGATTATATACAAATATATGTATCTCATTGGACTTGAGCTCTATAAGAATCAAGTGTTCCATAAAAAAAGGTACATAGTTCGTATACTCGAAAGGAACGTTTATATACATAATAATGTATATAATAAGGTGAGTTAGAATAAGCCCGACAAACTTCGTATATCGAGTTTCATTGTTCGTATACGGATTCCTAACCTCATTTTGAGGTGAAGTACGAAAAAAAATTTGGTTCACATTAATTTCTTGAGAACCCCTGTGGGAAAAAACCGAAGAAAAACTGAAACTCGGTATATACTGATCCAAATTCATTAATGTTATACATGGAGTTTCCATTTTTGAATATCGTTAAGGAATAGCGTGGTTACGATCGTATGTCGTTTTATATAATCCTTCATATTTTTTCTTAGACAAATTGTCGAATTGGTGTATGACATCAAGTTCCTGAGCCTAAGATATTTGCGAAAAAGTAAAGATATGCCTTGACGTAATATTGAGTAGAGATTCAATTTTCTGCGTGCCATAACTGCCTCACGCTGATTTTCCACATGATATTAAAAAATGTCTCAACCTCTCGAATATATTTGAATGTTGAGAACATTGAAAACCAAGTATGGGTGTGTCAGAAGTAGATAAACAAATAATCCCATGGTGAATAGTTTATATTGACTTGAGATGCCACCGCTGTTTAGGATAATAGTTGTTGAATATATCAAAAAACTTCAGCATAACAATTTTTTTGCTGAGCATTTGCAATATCACCTCAAATCATATATCTTTGGATTTTATAGCAAATGTCTCAGGAACCTCTCTACATTTAGCCATGCGGAAGGTTGATATTTTTACGCACGACTAGGAGTAAAGTAGCACTTTATCGCACGAATTCGCGAGCGAAAAGTAACACTTTAGTGCCCTAGGGCGATAAAGGAGTACAGCGGGCGATAAACTAGTCCAGCGGGCGGTAAAGCAGGTGAACGGGTGCTAAAGTAATTTCACTGTTTTTCCACTAATTTATAGTAGACTTCCATTCAAAATAATTCATATACATTTTACATTTTAAAACAAATATACTATGAATACAAATATTTATTTAAAATTGGTACCAACATATAACCATCAATTCAATTCAGATATATCGGGTTGTCACAAAAAAAACGGAAGTTTTTATTTTCCTCGTGGTTTCATCATTTCTCAACCGAATTCGAATTTTTTGGCGTCGTTTCATAGCTGAAGGGCTATAGTATTCAGTGGAATATTTGAAAATTCCATAATGAACAAAAACAAAATGGCGGATTCTACCAAAGTATTGTCATTTACAAAAACCGCTGGAGAAAAAGAAAATCAGATTTTTTCCAATCTGTACCGATGTCATCTTAGGCTATTCATTTCTGAAGAGAATGAGTACTCGAACATCGAAATCGAACAAATAGTCCAGTAGATACACTCATTTCTTTGCAATTTGTTATGGAGTGAATGTGCTTATCTCGAATAAACGATTATTATTATTTTGCTTCAGGCTTTATGAAAATTCAATCGAATTTGGATTTCTTGGAGTTATTTCAAAGATAAAGAACTGTAGTACATAATGGAACATTTGAAAATCCAATAATTGAAAGAAACAAAATGGTGGAGAATCCAGAATTTTTGTGATTTTCAAAAATCTCTGGCGAATATTAAAATGTTTATTCTTTCAATCAGGACCGAGACAATTTTAGATCATCGATTTCTGAAAAGAATGAGCACTCGAACATCTGAATCGAACAATTAGTCCAGAAGAAACACGTTGTTTTTGGCAAAGTGTTATGGGGTGAAATCCAAATTCGATCGAATTCTGATAAAGCCAGAAGCAAACTAAAAGTAATTCTTATTACGGGATTGGCACATTCACTCCATAACACTTTGCCAAAAAGAACGTGTTTCTCTTGACTAATTGTTCGATTCAGATGTTCGAGTGCTCATTCTTTCAGAAATCAATGATCTAAAATTGTATCGGTCCTGATTGAAAGAATAAACATTTTTTTATTCGCCAGAGATTTTTGAAAATCACAAAAATTCTGGATTCTCCACCATTTTGTTTCATTCAATTATTAGATTTTCAAATGTTCCATTGTGTACTACAGTTCTTTATTTCTGAAATAACTCTCAGAAATCCAAATTCAATTGAATTTTCATGAAGCCTGAAGCAAAATAATAATAATCGTTTATATGAGATTCGCACATTCACTCCATAACAAATGGCAAAGAAATGAGTGTATCTACTGGACTATTTGTTCGATTTCGATGTTCGAGTACTCATTCTCTTCAGAAATGAATAGCCTAAGATGACATCGGTACAGGTTGGAAAAAATCTGATTTTCTTTTTCTCCAGCGGTTTTTGTAAATGACAATACTTTGGTAGAATCCGCCATTTTGTTTTTGTTCATTATGGAATTTTTCAAATATTTCACTGTATACTATAGCCCTTTAGCTATGAAATGATGCCAAGAAATTCGAATTCGGTTGAGAAATGAAGAAACCACGAGGAAAATACAAACTTCCGGTTTTTTGTGACCACCCGATATACAGCGTGTCTCATTTCAAACGGCCCCCTTCCCCTATATCTCAGCTATCAGTCGTGAGATCTTTACCAAATTTGTATCGGTATGAATTATCATCAATATGACCAGAACTTCAGAGACAAACATCATTTTAGACAGTGCCGTGCATTTTTATCGAAATGAATAGTGGTCAATTCTTTATTAAATTATATTAGG